AATTCGATTCGAAAACAAAACAGAGATATCAATTTTAGATCGTAACCTATTGATGAGAATATATACTATATAATATTCTCATCATTTACTCTAATCAATCAAGACATATAGCCAATTATCCCTTCAAAGACAAAAACAAAAAAAACTCGAAAGTTTGAGTCGCTGATGTTGTGAACACGCACTGACTTAGACTTTTTTTTTTTTTTTTGAACACGCACTGACTTAGACTTTGTCGTACCGTATAGCTTGGATTGGGGAATGATAACGAAAAAACAGTTTAAAAGAATAATCAAATACATAGTCAATGTACATGGACCTATGGCACAGGTAGATATAAAAACACAGTTGGAACTATAAGTCGAAGCGAATAGTACACAGTTTAATACAAATAGATGGAGATTCTTGTCATTTTTATTCTTCTCTTTTCCACGATCAAATCTGGAATAGCGTATCGAAACGATGGCGTTTTCAAAGAGGTTAAGGTTGGATTGGTTGTGAACTTGGGTTCTATAGAAGGAAAGATTTTCAAAACTTCATTTTCTTTAGCGTTATCGGATTTCTATCGTATCAACAACGGATATGAAACCAGAGTCGCTCTTTCCTCTAGAGACTCCCAAGGAGATCTTCTTATTGCTCTTGATGCTGGTGAGTTTCATTTTTTTTATTGCATGCTGGTGAACAAAGAAGAAAAACGGATTTATGATAGACTAGAAAAAATTCGTTGAGGCGAATACTTTTTTTTGTTTATGGTTTTGTCATTCACTGTGTGAATTCAAACCTATGTAACCCATATATAAGTCTCAAATCCGATGCAGTAGAAATTTCTATGAATGGAGAAATATTTCACCCTAATTAAGATGTATCAGTAACGTGAAGGACTTCGCCCTCTACGTGACAATGCTGCAATGCATTTCTCTTGCTCACACAAAAAGAGTCTTATTGTTTATTGTTTACAAAACAATTGCGTTTCAATTTATTGGATTAATGTATTAATGAGATAAAATTCACGGTTTGTTAGTATGAGTATTATTAGAAACAAAAAATAATAATAGTACATGTACTTATTCGGGGAGCAAAAAAGTATCTCTAATTTCTGGCAGTTACTATTTCATTGGTGTATTTTTAGAGAAATTTTATAAAATTTTAATAATCATGTGTTTTTTATTTTTATTGTTTCCGCCTATCGGGTTAACATCCGTTAATTTGAAGATGTGAAATTTTCAAATTTTCTCTCTTTTAATACTAAACTAGCAACCTAATTTATTTCATGTATTCTTTAGTTATTTTTTAGATAACTAAAAAAGTTCATGTATTTTTCTGTTATTTGGTTGAGATATTTTTAAGAAAAACTTTCCTTGTATACCCTACATTTTAATGGAAATTTAAAATCTATACCGAATTTGTTAAATTTTGAAAAATACATTTTCCTGTGTTATTGAAAATATATTTTTGTCCTTAATTAATCATTAAAATTCACAATTTTGTTTTTTTAAAAATCATTTGTTTTTTTAATAAAATAAAATTATAATTCTTAAACCTAATATATAAAAAAAGAAATTTTTAAAAATGCCACTTTTCAAGTGTCATTTTACAAAAATGCCACACTTTTGACATCTTTACAAAAATGCCACTTTTTCAAAATTATTTTTTCTTTATATTATTTATGTTTCAGTTAATTATGTTCTATTAGGGTTTAGTTTTGAGTGTTTATAGGGTTTTAGGTGTCAAAACATGTTTTAGGATTTAGAATTTTAAGATATATGCTCTATAGATATATAATTAGTGACATTTTTGTAAATGGACACCCCTAAGTGGCATTCTTGCAAATGTCCACACAAAAAGTGGCATATCTTCAATCGTTGACTTCATCGGCTAAGTTTTAATTTAAAATAGGTCGAAAAAACTGAAAACTAAGTCGATGAAGATAAAAAATAAGTCAATGATTAAATAAGTCGACAATTTAAAGAAACAACCAAACAAAATATAAGTCAACAGTTTAAAAATAGGTCGAAAAAACTGAAAACTAAGTCGATGAAGATAAAAAATAAGTCAATGATTAAATAAGTCGACAATTTAAAGAAACAACCAAACAAAATATAAGTCAACAGTTTAAAATAAGTCGAAGAAACTAAAAATTAAGTCGACGAAGATAAAAAAATAAGTCAATGGTTACATAAGTCGACAAAGTAAAAAGATCAAGCAAACAAAACATAAGTCAACAGTTTAAAATAAGTCGAAGAAACTGAATAGTCGACGAAGATAAAAAAAAATAAGTCAATAGTTACATAAGTCGACAAGGCAAAAAATGAAGCAAACAAAGTATAAGTCAATATTTTAAAATAGATCGACGAAGCTGAATATTAATTCGACGAACATAAAAAACTCAACCAAAAAATAATCAACAAAATAAAAAATCAACCAAAAAAATTGCAGCTTTTAGATAATTATTAATTAGTAAAATATTTTTTTAAAATAAAAACTAAAAACGATGTTAAGTTTAATAATTTTTAATTATTTAAATTTTTATTATAAGTTAAATATGTATAGGAGTATTTACATACTTTTATATAACAAAAATATAGTTTTCCAATTTATATAAGATTAAGTGTAGTTTTACAATTTTCAATAAAATTTATTGTATTTATCAAAATCTCTTCTTTTTTCTTTTTTTATTGAGTTGTTCAAAATCTCTTCTTTTTTTTTTGAGAAATTTCAAATATAGCCACTTTTCAAGTGCCACTTTACAAAAATGCCACACTTTTAAAATCTTTACAAAAATACCACTTTTTCAAATTATTTTTTCTTTATATTATTTATGTTTGGGTTAATTATGTTCTATTAGGGTTTAGTTTTGAGTGTTTGGGGGGGGTTTTAGGTGTCAAAACATTTTTGAAGGTTTAGAATTTTAATATATAGGTTTTATAAATCTATAATTAGTGGCATTTTTGTAAATAAACACCCTTAAGTGGCATTTTTGCAAATGTGCACACAAAATGTGGTATTTTTGTAATTGCTTTTTTTTTTTCTTTTTAGAGTTGTTCACATCTATAAACTACAGTTTTTTTTTTGCGTCAAACTGTATCACGTCGTTTCTGTTTCACTACGTCTTAGAGTTAGAAATATTTTTCCATTTTTCGAAAATTTACAATTACATTCCTAAAAATATTCTGATTCTGTTTTGCATTATAGTTGAATTTTCTCGAAAAATTACAATTATTTATTGTACGAAACCAGCTAGAGATCTTGTCAAAAGGGAAAAAGTGGAAGCCATTGTTGGTGCACAATCACTACAAGAAGCAAAGCTTTTAGCTACGATTAGTGAGAAAGACAAAGTTCCAGTGATATCTCCTTTCGCGCCAATTTCCTTATCCTTGAACAAGTACGATCACTTCATTCAATTCACGCACGATTCTACATCAGAAGCTAAAGGGATTACGAAACTCATACATGATTTCAACTGGAGTTCGATTGTTGTTATATACGAGGATCTTGATGATTGGAGACAGAGTTTGCAGATTCTGTTGGATCATGTCCAAGACAAAGGAATCCACGTTGATCGTATCGTTTCTTTCGTTGAAGATGATTCTATGGTGAATCAGCAGCTACAGAAGCTCCATTCCTCATCAAGAACATCAATTTTCGTTGTGCATATGTCTGAGATTCTTGTTTCTAGTCTCTTCAGATGTGCGGACAAGTTAGGAATGATGGAACAAGGTTATGCTTGGATCCTTACCGCAAGAACCATGAATCATTTTCATTACACGGATCGTTTCGCAATTAGTTCGACGCAAGGGGTGATTGGTTTCAGATCCTATGTTTCAGGGTCAGAACAAGTTAAGAATTTTACTTCAAGATTGAGAAAACTAATGGTTGATGATGATGAAACAAAGCATTCTAGTTTAGAACTCATCGGTGTATGGGGACATGATATCGCTTGTGTTCTAGCGAATGCGGTAGAGAAGATGAGGCCAAGAGGAGAATCTACAAATCCTCTTGAGACAATTAAGCAGAATGGATTCAAGGGTTTGAGTGATGGTGGTGACATCGAAATCGTTGGCAACAAATTTCTCTCAAGAACATTTGAGATTGTGAATATGGTAGGGACAGGGGAAAGAAGAATAGGATTATGGAGTTGTGATCATTTCTACGGAAGAAGAGGCATTATGGTTTCTTCTACCAATGAACTTGAGACCATAATCTGGCCTGGTGGGTCTGGTAGAATCCCAAGACACCGTTTTTTGGAAGAGAACGGTGAAAAGAAGAAGTTGCTTAGGGTCTTGGTAACCGCAGGAAACAGGTTCCCACATCTGGTGGCGGTGCGTCCTGATCCTGAAACGGGTCTTAATACGTTCTCTGGATTCTGCATAGAGGTTTTCAAGACTTGTATTGCTCCTTTAAACTATGAGCTGGAGTTCATACCTTATGATGGAAATAACTATGACAATCTTGCTTATGAGCTATCTACTCAGGTTCATATCTAGTACCTTGGGTCTTGATGGTATTCCATTCATATAGTTGTTTCTCATAAAAGGTTTTTTTTTTTGTGTGTGTTGCATTACAGAGAGACAAATATGATGCAGCTGTTGGTGACATCACCATATTTTCGAACAGATCTTTATACGTTGATTTTACCTTGCCTTACACTGACATGGGTATTGGAGCCTTGGTACTAAAGAAAAAGAGAGAGAGCATGTGGACTTTCTTTGACCCTCTTGAAAAATCCTTGTGGCTAGCAAGTGGAGTTTTCTTCATCTTGACCGGCATTGTTGTTTGGTTGCTTGAACGGGCGGTTAATCCTGAATTCCAGGGCTCATGGGGACAACAACTTGGTATGATGCTTTGGTTTGGGTTCTCTACCCTTGTGTTTGCTCACAGTAAGTGACTAAGTGTATTATTACTATTAGCCCATATAATGTCTTGCCTTGGCTTACTCTTTTTTTCTTTTTCTTTGGCAGCGGAGAAGCTGCAAAAAATGTCATCAAGATTCCTAGTCATAGTATGGGTTTTTGTGGTGTTGATATTGACTGCAAGTTATAGCGCAAATTTAACTACAACAAAGACCGTTTCTCGCATACAATTAAATGAGTTGGCTATCACCAACCCTGCGGAATTTAGAGCTGTTAGAACCAGATTTTTGAATACCTATGAGGATTATGTTCAAGCTTTACGGAATGGAACTATCAATTATGTTGTCGATGAAATACCATATCTCAAAGTCTTTCTCGAAAATTATCCGGGTCTCTTCGACCTGATAGATAGAAAAAGTGTGACCAATGGCTTTGGGTTTGTATGTGTCTCCCCTTAATATTCTCTTTTATCACTATTGGTTTTCCTCTTACTAAGTTATGTTTGAATTTCAGATGTTTCAGAGAGGCTCAGGTTTGGCTCATAACGTGTCAAGAGAAATCGCAAAGCTAAGGTCATCAGGAATGTTGGGAGACATGGAGAAAAGATGGTTCCGAAAGCAGGATTGTTTTACTACAAATCTAAACGTTGAATCATCTAAAAATGACAATGCATATGAGCATCTCACCATCCGAGAGTTGGGAGGTTTGTTCATCATTGCAGGGGTTGCTCATGCTATTGTACTAATCGTGCACTTGTTTCAGACGTGGCGAGAAATATTGTGTGTATTGAGGGAATCTCGACTCTTCACCAAACTTCAAAAAATTTCAAGCTTCTATATAAATAAGTTTAAGGATCCATCAATCATAAGCAGGAGTATAGCCTAAGTTAGATCAACAAAGTATAGTTGTAAATACTAAATTTAAAGAACAAAAGGCATAGGTGGTTTTGAATAAGATTTTGAATTACTTTCTAATGCTACTAGATTATGACTAGTATTTTAGATAACAAATGTAGACTAACCCTTGTATACATAGGGCAACAAATCACCCTGTCTCAATCGGTCTAAACCGGTATGACCCATTTATTTAAAATCGGAATGAGATAGACTAACAATTCGGTTCGGTCTAATAATGTACAGAAACGTCCGGTCTGGTAAATTTTAAACATGTCAAGAAACACAGAGGGAAGAGAAATAGATTTCACAGTTCAGTTAT